TTTACAGAAAAGTTGGATTTTCATTCATTCATTATTGCATATTTCCTCCCTATCCCCCCTGCCCAATGATGTTGTTCTATAATTTCCACATTCAGTTTGATTTTCTTACTTGGGAATGAGAACAAATATTAACTTTCAGTTAATAAATAATACTTACTGTGCTGGTTAATAGTGTGTGAAAATGTGGCCATGATTCTTCATAATGTAATTACCAATTTGTTGTAAATTCCCTCAATAAGGGATATAGTGACTGCAACAATAGGTTCAAGTACAGAGTGAGTAGAATACTTACTTACTGGGTAGAGTTCCATTCTCTTGTTCACAGGGTCAATATGAGGAAAAGCTCACTCACTAATACCATCCCACCACCATGAGGTAAATAAGGTAAGACCAGAGGTTGTTATGTAACAATACAATCAGTCCTGATCAGATGTAGGAGACGAGCCCTTACTCACTTACTCAAAGTCTATGGCTCTGCCTGCCAACTGTGGACTCCTTAGCCATCACAGGTGGCTCTCTTCTGAGGCCTAACCCACAGACCTGGGACTTGTCAGCTTCTACAAAAGTGTGAGCCAGTCCCTTGAAATGAATTAGTCTCTCTATAAGCTTCATTGGATTTATGCCTTGGAAAACCTAATTTATGACAAGAATCATTGGAGAAGCTCAAAATCAGCTGTGAAAACTAGGCTAGTTGTTGATTGTGGAACAGACCACAAACTACTCATACGCAAGTTCAAGCTGAAGAAAATTAAATCAAATCCACAGGAACCAAAATTTGACCTTCAGTCTATCACACTTGAATTTAAAAACCATATCAGGAACAGGTTTGAGGCCTTGAACATCAATCAGCAAAGACCGAAGGAGCTGTGAGAGGATATCAAGAATATCATCCAGGAAGAGCACAAAGGCAGAGGAGGGAGAAAAGACCAAGGTGGATGTCAGATGAGACTGACTAGTGAGATTGCACTAGAGCACAAAGAAGAAAGCAAAAGAAAGAAATCAAGAAGTTAAGGAGCTGAACAGAAGATTTCAATGGGAAGCTTGGGAAGACAAAGCAAAGCACTATAATGAAATATACAAAGAGCTAGAACCAGAAAATCAAAAGGACCAAACTCCCTCAGCATTTATTAAGTTGAAGGAATTGAAAAACAAATTCAAGCCTCGAGTTGCAATACTTATGGAAGTTTTGGGCAGAATATTAAATGATCCAAGAAGCAGTAAAAGAAGTTGGAAGGAGTATACAAAGTCACTGTACCAGAAGGAATTGGCTGACAGAGAAGAATTTAATGAAACAGCATATGAGCAAGAGCCTGTGATGATGAAGGAAGAAGTTCAAGCTGCTCTGAAAGAACTGGCAAAAAAACAAGGCTCCAGGAATTGATGGCATACCAAGTGATGTATTTCAACAAAACATACGCTGCCCTGGATGCACTCACTAAGTTGTGCCAAGAAATCTGGAGGACAACCACCCAGCCAACTGACTGGAAGAGATTTATATTTATTCCCATTATAAAGAAAGATGATCTGACAAAGTGTGGAAATTATCAAACAGTATCATTAATACCACATGCAAGCAAGATTTTGCTGAAAATTATCCAAAAACGACTGGAACAGTATGTCAACAGAGAACTGCCAGATGTGCAGGCTAGGTTTTAAAGAGGCCATGGCAATAGGGAAAGTACAGTTAATGTTAGCTGAATCTTGGCTGAAAGCAGAGAGTACTGGAGGAATGTCTATCTGTGTTTCACTGACTATGAAAGGTGTGGCTGACTTTGAGAAGAATGGGAATCCCAAAACATTTGATTGTGCTTATGTGAAACTTATACTTGGACTAGGAGGCAGTCATCAGAACAGAGCAAGGAGTCACTGCATGGTTCAAAATCGGGAAGGGTGTTCGACAGAGATGTATTCTGTTTCCATACCTTTTCAATCTATATGCAGAACAGATCCTCTGGGAGACTGGGCTATATGAAGAGAATGTGGTATCAGGATTGGAGGAAGATTCATCAACAACATGTATTATGCAGATGACACAACCCTCCTTGCTGAAACTGATGAAGACCTGAAGTACTTGCTGCAGAAGATCAAGGACTGTGGCCTTCAATATGGATTGAAGCTCAACATCAAGAAAAAAAGATTCTCACCACTGGGCCAATTGGCAGCATCATGTTGGATGCTGAAGAGATTGAGATTGTTAACAGCTTTGCTTGGCTCCATAATCAACACTCTTGGTACCAGCAAATCAAGAGACGAAATGCATTGAGAAAGTCTGCTGTCAGAGACCTCTCCAGAGGACTGAAAAGCAATGCATCAGTCTGGAGACTAAGGTGCGCAAAATAAAGGCCATAATTTTTACAATTGTTTGTGATGCCTCACAATGACTAGGGATGATAGAAAGAGAATTGATGGCTTTGAGCTCTGGTGCTGGAGAAGAATTTTGAATATACCATAGACTGCTAAGAGAACAAACAAGTTTGTCCTAGAGAGGGTGAAGCCAGCCTGATCCTTGGAGGCAAGGATTCTGAGGCATCACCTGACATACTTTGGCGATGTTGCAAGGAGGTCCCTGGAGAGGGACATCATGCTTGAAAGGATGGATGGATGGATGGATGGATGGATGGATGGATGGATGGATGGATGGAGAAAAAGAGGGAGACCATCAGTAAAATGGATTGATACAGTGACGGGGGTAATGAGGGTAGGTGTGTCAGAGAAACTAAAGTTGGCACAGGATAGAGCAAGTTTCAGGGCTGTTGTACATAGGGTTGCTGAGTCACAAGCAACTCGAATGCACATTACAACAACAACAACATGCATTGCAGTTGTAAATAGGCAAAACCACTAGGACTAATTTCTCTGATGAGTCACATTTCCACTGATCACCCCATTTTTCCATCTAGGAAGCTACTTTTACCTGGGAAGGTCCCTCAAAAGCTGTACTTTCCAGCTCAGCTTTG